CCCCCCGGAGCCACCCCTCGCCTGCTGGTCTGCATCCAGAATCACCCGCGGCGGGGCGCTGGGATGGGGCAGTGCTGTGCTGGGCAAATACCTGGGTTTGCGCGGCTTTTCTTGCTACCGGCGCGAGAGCTCGGGAAGGAGGGAATAAGCCCTATAAGTGCCTACAAGCCATACCACAAGTGGTTCTAGGTCCTCCAGAAGAGAGACTAGAAGAAGGGTACCAACCCTTGTCTGTAGTCTATTTTAGCAAAAGAAGCCTCGCCCAAAAAAGAAACGGTGAAAGTTGGCACCTAGCTGGGGGACCTGGGGTTTCCTTTAAGTGGACTGGGTTCAGAACTCGGATTCTTCAGCTTCTCTTGCTGGCTAGACTTCAATTTGCAGAGTGTCTTAAATTCGGGTGGAAACAAGGAAAACGGAGACACATTGCCAAGCTCCTTACTGATCCTTAAGGCTCCTCAGAAAGCTTTGTAAGCTCCTTGTAAACCTCTTTTTGCTTAAGTAACCCTAAACCCTTCGAATTCAATCTTGGGATCTGTGAGTGAAGCTGAGCGTGTCTTAACTTCGGGGTCTGCACAAGGGAAACGGAGACACATCGCCCACTTTGGAGTGTTTTTTTTAGGGAAACGGAGGTGTCCCGGTCGTTGACCCTTTTCTTGCGATCAGCGCGATAGGTTGCTGATTCCCTGCGCATGAAAATGGGACCAAACAAGGGGGGGGGTAACCCAAAGCAGGGGCCATGTGGTGGTTGTCCCCCCAGTTTGTTTGTATAGAATTCTGCCCAGACTTGCGAGAGATGCGATGGCCCTGAGAAATGGAACGCGGAGAAAAACCAAAACCAGGAGTTGGGTTCCTTTTCGGGACCCATTGCTTCAGTCCACACATTCCCTACTTGTCCCACCAGCAAGCTTTTGCTTTCCCAGCGAAAGGGCGTGATGGCTGGGAGGGTCGTTTTTTGAGTCTACCCCCCTTTTTGCGGGTGTGGAAAGGTACGATTTCAAACACAAGGCACACCCTGCTGCAGGAAACCTCAGCATTGGATGATTGTTTTTAGGGAAAAGGAACAGGCCATTTCAAAAGTCTTTGAGACACAGCTTTGGTTTCGACTAGTGGCTAACCTTGTCCAGGTATGGACAAACATTTTCTGCAAAATCAACATGTGAGTCACAATCAAAAATCAAAACCTGGGTAGATAAAGGTTAGTAAGGGACAATCCCAGCCATAAATAGCTGCGGCCGCCTTCTTAATTCTTTACATGGTTCTGGGTGGACCATTTTAGTACCAGGTTTTGATCATGACTCAATGTTGTTTTTCGTCCCTTTGCAGATCGGTCCTCTGGAACATTTTGAAAAAATGTGGTGTAGTGAATCCGATTCCCTTTAAATCCGCCAAGGGGAACACACACATTTTCCCCAGAGCTTCCTCGGCCTGAGTAACTTAGGCCTTTTGTAAACACCCCGTAAAAAGGCCGTAAAAAACCCTCCGTGTTTAAACGGCCTCCGTAACTCAGGCCTTTGGACTCCCTGGGTTCTCAAGCAAGTGAAACTTTTGGGAAACATTCGGCGCCAAAGACCAGCCGCCGCTGGCTGCTGCGGTTCTCGCGACCCGCCGCAGATCCGCCGCGTGTGTCCCGCACACCCGGGCCGGCGCGCACGGGGATGCCTTGCACCACTGGGAGGGGGGCCTGGCAGCGCGCGCGCGCGCGCGGCTCGGCGTTTTTGAGCGAACTTCACTTGAGATCGAGTGGGCGTGTCAACAAAATGTCGTTCCTTTTTCTGGGCTGCCCTCAGATCCCCCGCTAAAAGTCAAACTTTTTGTGGGTTAAATGGAAACTACCGCTAAGTACTAAATACTAAAGACTAAAAAGCTAAAAGGCTAAGGAACCGGATGGCTGGCACATGCGCCTTGCCCATTATCATGTAGGCTGGAGCCATGGGGTGCACAGATCGTGGAATGACGACAGACTCCTCTTGGAAAAGGTCTTGTTGCACTTCAATGTTAGTTAGTGGGAGGGTAACCATGCTTAAAAAGTGAGCATCCAGGCTGACCTTTCGCGACAAGTTCTGTATGTCATCAAAAGCTAGGTCTAGGAGCCTTCCCCAGAGACCTCCTTTGAGGACCCCCTAGGCCAAAAGCATCCGGCAACCCGGCCGATTCTTGGACCACCTTTGAAAAAATGGCGGGACCCTATCTCACGTCCAGAGCCAAAACAAGCTTGGACCTTTTGTTTACCACTCAAATGGTCTTTCCAGAAAGTCTAAAGCCCAAATGGCGGAAAGGGAACCATCACCCCCAAACATAATTTCGAGTACCCGTCAATGTGTTCAATTGGACGCAGTCCTAGCTAAAACGACACCAGGCAGGTCATGGCTGTTTGAAGCCGTGGCTTACTACCTCGGCGGCCGGCTTGCGCGCTTGACAATAATTCACGGCAAAAACTGCAGGGAAAAAAAAACTGCTGCCGACACATCGGTGGCCAGCGCAAAGTATGGCAAGACACCAAAGTGGTGGAAACGAAGGCGTAGCAGCAGATGGACCAAATCCTCGAACCTACCTCTCTCGGCGGCGCTCAGACCTCGATTGATGCTAGCAGCATCCAGCAGACAAATGCCCCTCCAAGCAAAGGTGCAGCCAGACAAAGGGGCATCGCTGACGTCTGGGACCTTAGAGGTGGAGGCGGCAGAGGCAGCAAAGCCACGCAAAGGCGCAGGGAAGAACGACGCCTAGACAAGCTCTCGCAGAGGTGCTGCAATCTTGCAGCAGCTCGGAGCCTAGACAACAAGACAAACGACGTTTGGGTGGGTGCAAAGCCACCGAAGCAAAAGAAAAAACGCACACGAAAGCAGCGCACATCCTTCTGGAATCTTCTGGATGCATTGATCATGACAACCCTTCATTTGCTTAAGCCCCCTGGACTCCCTACAAGGAAAATCAATCAATATTATTAAGCAAATGGAGGCAACCAAGCACAGGAACAACCCCCAGGCGGAGATCTCCTCAACAACAGCAGCTTGACCACTCGGCCACTGCGGGGAAGCTGGCGACAGGGGACCTCGACACAGGAGTCAACCAGGCGAAACACCGAAAAGCCACACAGCAGTGGCAGCCGCGACGCAGGAAGCAGGAAGCCAAGGGCAAAAGTAAGAGCAAATAAAACCAGCGCAGCCCTCAGGGCAAAGGCTGAGCAGCAGGCAGCACGCAAAAACCAAGACAGCAACAGCACATGGGAGGTGGCCAAACGACCGGCTGGACAACACCCAGAAGCACGTTGAACAGGAGGTACGGCCGCCAGGCAGCGTGACAACCGACAGCAAGCTTAGACAAGAGCTCGAAGCAAGGACAACACCTACCGGCTGCGTTGCTTGGTGCCGCACCCAAAAGTACGCACAGCAGTGGAACTCGCAGCCATACACGAAGTGAGCAAACCAGAAAGCCGGGAACAGCGTATAACGGTTCTCTGGCGCAGCTCTGAAAGACGAACCAAGCGGGGCCATGGAGCCGATCAGGTGCATCTCTTCTGAGCTTGCCAAAGGCGAACGCGGGGACCCGCAGACGAACTGGGACCGGCCGCGCACCACAAGCGACCTTGGCAACCTGACAGCTATGACCACTACAGCAGAGGAGGTGCCGTCTTAGAGACATGGCGACAACAGCACGCCCACCCTGCCTTTTCGCTTGAGCTGATATGCTGTCAAAAACCGACGATTTCATAGCTGCTTCAACCATGATTATAAGGGAACCAACCCAGGTTACTCCGGCTAATAGATATACCCTACATTTTAAGTGGATCCAACATCCAAGTAGACACCCTTTCCCATTTTCCGCCATCAGCGGTACGCTTGGAACAAAAAAGCACACCAAAAAACCAATCAAACAAAACTCTAGAAAACGGCTTGGATGCACTTTTTGTGGATTTCACCTGTTCTTCCCCCTGTTGGTCCTTTTTGTTGGCATCCAAACCGTTTCCTAGAACATTACGCACACACCCACACACAACCCCCCCAACAAAAAAGAGAAAAACAAAAACACGCACACAAAAAAAAGGAAACACCGGACGAAGCCGCAGCGCCTCCCCAGCTTCCGCCTGCTCGAGGTTCATCACTCTGCCCAGTGCCACCGCCATAGGTTGTGAAACGGCTGCGCTTTCTTCGGTTCTTGGCGGGAAAACGGCTGCGGTCCATGGGACCAATGTGTCAACCTCTGGGTGCTGTATATGCTGCGGCCATCTGAGGCCTCAAAAGTTGTGAGAACCGGCCCGTGACGACCCTACTGGAATGACCCCCAAACGCCAAAAAGGGAGAGTTCTAAACGCCAAGCCCCCGCCACCACCCACTCCCCCCCCTGCACACAAAGCCACTACCCCTGGCACACGCTGCCAACCCCCTCCACACCCTTCAAAGACCCTAAACTAGACCTAGACCAACCCTAAACAAACCCTAAACCGACCCTAAACTAAGCTAAAGAAACCCAAAGCCTACCCCTCAACCAACCCTAAGCAAACCCTAAACCGACCCTAAGCCAACCCTAAAATACCCTGGACCAAACCTACACCAACCCTAAGCCAACCAAACATATCTAAACCAACCCTGAAAGATCAATAAACCTCAACAAACCCTAAACCAACCTTAAAACACCCTAAACCAACCTTAAACCGGCCCTACACCAAGCGATCACCATGTTTAGTGGTAAGCCCACCACACAAATGGGACAACACTTGTGTGTGTGTGTGTCACCCACCAAACAAATCATTCTGTGTTGGTAGTATTATTCGATAAAGCAAACGTGATTTCCCCCAACAGCTGAAAGTTATGGGGTCTCTAGACAAGCTTTGGGGGTGGTTTGGGGTTTGGGGCAGCTTTTAGGAAGGGTTCAGGAGGGTTCCAGGAGGTTCCGGAGCTGTTGGGGATACCACGGTTTATTTCTTTGTCCCCATGTAGTTCAACCGTATAGTATAAACTCCCGTGCCATGAAAAACCGAGTCACTGGCTCACTCACCACCCAGCCTCGGCCTTCAGATCTGTGACCTGCAAGGCCGTGTTTCATGTCTGTCCCTAGGGGGCTGGCTAAGAAGGCCTCCAAAGATAGCTGGGGTTCAGTCACTTACCACCAACGCCTTTCAGCGAATACTTTCATTCCCAAGCCCCTTGGGGTGGTTTATCTCAATTCCTGAGATGGGCCAAGAAAAGTCCAGCAACTGTTTGTTTGCCACCAAAACGTCCAATCCCAAAAAAATACTAAAGTCTATGAACTCAGGGAGTGAGGTTTTCTTCATGGCCATATCTAGAGGGGGCTATAGGCTATCCCCGGATAAGCCCAGGACAAGAAGAAGCCTAAAGGAAGGGAAAGCCACACGCTATAGAAGTGTTCAGCATATTGTTTGCACATGTTGTGCACTCCGAAGCCTGAAATAAGGGATCCAATTGAAGGACCTTCGTTTGAGCCTCGGACCGGTCGATGTGAGGGACAAAAAAGCAATGGAAATCCTCAAGCTGGGTCTTTCGTCCCTTCGGGCTTTCCCATCATTTCCACAGATCTCTTCCCCTAAATTTGATTGGAACCCTTCCACCCACAAATCACAGGCCTTCATGGGCAACCCTTTCAAACACGAAGATCTGCCAAACAAGCGAACTTTAGGAGCGACAAAGCGGCGAACTTCGGTCAGGCTCACGCTCCCCCCCCGCTCGAAGGTCAACTCTTGGCAACGGGACATGGCCTTGATCTTCAAAATATTCTGCCGTCTGCACTTCCTCTAGTGGACTGCCTCCAATTTATCCAGGGCTTTACATCAACTTGCAAATACGTCCCTGGGGAAAGAACAAAAAACTGTAGTAGAGATAGATCCCCTTTAAAACCGCCACTTTAAAACCGTCAGAGGGAAATAACACACATATTCTTAAAGCAACTGAAAGCTCCGAGTGTCCAGGGGTGTATCAATGGGTCAAGATGACGGACTCAGCACCAGGCCCCCCCCACTTTGGTCTTACGCCCCGAAGGAAAAGAAACAAAACACAAAAACGAGGTCCTTCTTGTCTTGACGGTTGGACTGGAGAAGGTCCGTGCACCCGAAATGGTTCGAACAAGGTTCAGCTCGAGGTCCCTTTTTGGTGATCTTAAGATCCGCCAGTAAACCTTGCCAGCCAAACTATCAGAAGCATGCCGGTTCTTTCTGGGGACATGCGGAAGGGCAGGGGGTTGACACCCTTCACTCTGTGAATTCAGCGAAATCCTCTTAGGCACCACTGTTCAGAAACCCTGGCTTCTGATTCGATTCCTCAAAATAAATACCAACCAACGTTCTGGTTCAATTTTTATGGTTTCATTTTTGTGGTGTGAAACGGATTTCGGAACCATTTCACAGTAGGCAAGCGTTCCTCGGATGCAGAGGAACATGAATGGAACCCTAAATGCTCCGAACCGCACTGGCAAGACGCAGACACCTCGCGTGTGACACGACTTGCTATACCCTGGACATGTTTTCCGCCCAGAAGCTTTGAGCCAATCTTGCTGGTTGGCAGGGAAAATGAAACACCAAACTGGCAAGAGCATGGAAAAAGGTATCTGGGCTGTCCTGCTAAAAGTTTAATTTGTGGCTAAAATAGTGACCCAACCACTAAACCAACTAAAAACAGCTAAAAACCTAAGGAGCCGCGTGGTTGGTGGAATCTGGCGACCACATATGGGCCTCTTTTTTTAGGGGTACCCGTTTTTGGGGGCCTTCAAAACAAATCAAAAGGAAAACCAGCAGTTTGGAGTTCCCCCCCCCAAAAAAACCATCCACCCACCCACTGGCCCACCCACCTACCCACCCACCCACCCACCCACGCACGCACGCACGCACGCACGCACGCACCCACACAGACAGACAGACAGACAGACAGACAGACAGACAGACAGACAGACAGACAGACAGACAGACAGACAGACAGACAGACAGACAGACAGACAGACAGACAGACAGACAGACAGACAGACAGACAGACAGACAGACAGACAGACAGACAGACAGACAGACAGACAGACAGACAGACAGACAGACAGACAGACAGACAGACAGACAGACAGACAGACAGACAGACAGACAGACAGACAGACAGACAGACAGACAGACAGACAGACAGACAGACAGACAGACAGACAGACAGACAGACAGACAGACAGACAGACAGACAGACAGACAGACAGACAGACAGACAGACAGACAGACAGACAGACAGACAGACAGACAGACAGACAGACAGACAGACAGACAGACAGACAGACAGACAGACAAACAGAGACACACACACACACACACCGAGCCCCGTTTTCCCGCGGCTCGTCCGGCCATCTCCCCCGGACCCTGAGCGATCGCATCGAGTGTGCCGAATCCGCCTCCTGCTGCTTCCGCGCGGATTCCTCCTCCAAGGTCGCCAGATCCCGGGCGACTTGCTCCAACTTCCGCTCCTGCGACCGGAAAAAGCAACCGGGGGCTGGTGCTCAGTAGGGAATGAGGGAATTAACGCAGGGGTCCCCGAATAAAGGAAACCACAAGGGATGGTTTTCAGGGGGTCATTCCTTCATTCCCAGCAAGAAGCAAAACGGATCTATACGAGGTCCTCCAGTAGAGGGGTTAATATACGGGTACCTTTTTTTTCCGTAGTCTGTTTTATTCGGGAAACCCTCCCCAACAAAAGTGTAAAAGGGCACTACTGGGGGGACCTAGTTTAGGAATAGGACCCCTTTCCTTGTGGATTTCAAGGAACAGCAACCAAAAAGGGAAACTGAGGAAATTTGGTAAAAATGGCCTCCTTAATTCTAGGGCAAGCTTCCAACCATTCTGAACCCTGGGATGCTTCCTTTTTTTCAGGAAACCGTAACACAAATATTGGAAACAGCTGTCAAACAAAAACACCTCTTGAAATTGCCTCCTTATGACCAGTGGACCCCAGGTTAGGTGTCAATAGTGAGAACCTCCATTTGCTGAAGTAAGTACACGGGAAAAACAATAAGCACGTGTGCGTATTTTCTTGAGGGCATCCCTTTAGGAATTTGGCCGGTTTTGAGTCAAGGGGGAAACACCCCCCGCAAATATTTGTGGGTTCCCCTAGTTTAAGACAAACCCATACGGATCTAACCGACCGAAAACAGATCTTGTTGAGGGAAAAGTTCCGTGGTTGGGGCACGCTTGGTAGGCACTTGGGGGCCAATCCCCACCAGGGGCCCGCAGTGGGAAAACCAGGATACCTGCAGGTGAAGATGGCATTGAGTGAGCCTTTGGGGTGGGTTCAACATCGGAACCTTGACAAAAATGAAAAAGACCTAACACCTTTAATCATTCCACCAACCGTAATTTGACCCCCAGGGACCAGGGGGAAACAGGGTAAAGTGGGGGCCCACAGTGGGAAAACCAGGGCAAACTGTGGTAATTGTTACAACCAGACGAAAACCTCATCACCCAGGCGTTTCAACCGTAACCAAACATGGAGTCTTTGGGGTGGAAAGTCCCTTATCCCTGGGGGTCAGGGGCAACTCCGAAGTCATCGTCCCCCCAGTCCTTCTCCCGGAGCTCTTGAAGTTGCTCCCCGCCCCCGAACTCCACCCGCCCGCCGTGCTGGCTCTTCACGCCTCGCAAGAAGAACCCTCTGGTGTCGAAAAGGGACCCAGTGGTTAGGACGGTTCCAAACCCAAAGGAAACCATAGAAGATTTGGTGTTTTGGTGAGGGTATGTTTTTAAAGGGAAACCTAGAGGAAAGCCAAGCCATCATGTTTTGGGTGTGCTGTACTAAGGGTTCCTTGCGCGGCTTGTTTGAAAGGGACACCTAAAGGAAACCTGTATGATTGTTGGGTCCCCCT